GGATTGTGACTCGTCTTTTCGAAAGCTGAAAAATGTGCTGACTCACTATCCTGTCCTCAAGATTGCCGACTCGTCTCTTCCTTTTATTGTTACGACTGACGCGAGTCAGTACGGTGTTGGCGCTGTCTTACAGCAAGACGACGGCAAGGGTTACCGCCCTGTTGAGTTTATGTCTAAACGTCTGCCGTGCGAAAAGGTCGCCAACTCTACCTTCGAAAGGGAGTTGTATGCATTAGTCTGTGCCCTAGAAACGTGGAAACACTATCTCCTTGGCAGACATTTTACGGTGTACTCGGACCACTCGACTCTCAAGCGGATCAAGACACAGCCTCGATTGTCTGACAAGTTGGTACGTTGGTCTGCTTTTATTGATACCTTTGATTTCGAACTCAAAACTATTAAAGGTAAGTCTAATGTTGTAGCAGACGCACTATCTAGGAGGAGTGATTTCTTTGGGGCTATAGTCTCTTACCTGGATGTTGGGAATGATGTGAAAGATCAGATTCGCGCTGGATATGCCACTGACCCTGTCTGGAAACCAATCATGGATATCCTAGCCAAGGACCCATCCCAACTTCCTCACTATCGATTGTCTGATGGCTTACTCTTCTTGTTGGACCGGACGGAACAGAGATTGTGCATTCCTCACAAGGAAGAACTTAAAAGTCTATTGATTGGGGAATGTCATGACACAGAGGGACACTTTGGTTTCAAGAAGACGTATGCTGAGGTGCGTGAGCACTATGAATGGAAGGGTTTGAAAGAGGATGTACTAACATATGTTCGTACGTGCCAAGTATGTCAGAGAAACAAACCGTCTCATAAGAACCCTTTGGGTTTACTCCGACCACTACCTATTCCGAGTGAGCCAGGTGAGTCTGTGTCCATAGACTTCATGAAACTCACCAAGTCCCGAAATGGCAATAGTCAAGTTATGGTTGTGGTTGACCGTTTCTCTAAATATGCCATGTTCATACCCTTGCCTGCAGRGGCCAAGACTGAGCTTGTGATTGCTAAATTTCRGATGYGATGGGTAACYGAGTATGGGTTTCCCATGTCTATCGTATCTGACCGCGATGTCAGGTTCACAAGCATGCCTTGGCAGAAGCTGATGGAGGCCTACGATACACGACTCACCATGTCGTCAGGTAGACACCCTGAAACAAATGGCCAGTCTGAGCAAATGAACCTTATTGTCCAACAACTTCTGAGAATGTATGTCCGTCCTGACCAAATAGACTGGGATGAGAACTTACCCAAGATTGTCGGTGCATATAACAATAGTGTGCATACCGCGACGGGACGCACACCTAACGCACTGCACAAGGGCTGGAAGCCTAAACGTCCCATTGATGTTTTAACAAGGGATCAGTTTCTTAGACTTCCACCAGGGACAAAGGAATATGCCATTATGTTTCAAGAAGACATCAAAAAGGTGAAGGAGAATCTGAGGAAAACCCAAGAGCGCATGATTGAACAAGCTAACAAACACCGACGCCCGTCGACTTTTCAAGTTGGTGACTTGGTCTGGGTTAAGTCCAAAGAGTTCACTCTAGAAGAAGATGTTTCTCAGAAACTGATGCCTGTCTATCTAGGACCCTGGGAAGTTCTCAAGGTGATAGGGGATGCCGATGGACCATCATACCGGATTGACATTCCCCCTCATCTTCGGACATACCCCGTCTTTCACGCGTCTAAACTGCTTCCATATGTAGAAGGAACAGAATTTCCTCACCGACCATCTGCTATACCTCTGTCTATGAATGGCAGCTATGTGGTTGAGAAAATTACTGATCATGGATTTTTTTCTACTGGTGGAAGAGGCAGACCTCAGAAGCAGTATAAAGTGAGATTCCAGTTTCAAGATGCTTCTGAAGACCGTTGGTTTAGCAGACGGGAACTGATGGATACTGCTCCTGATATTGTTGCTAGCTATGAACGCGGACTGAAGTCTTAAGTATTTCTGCGGTGGAACTCGAATTCAGGCCGGCAGGAATGCAGTAAACCGCGTTCAACAGCGGCCTGGGCGCTGTAACCCAAGCCCAGGCCCAGCGAGCAGTGCGACCACACGCTGCTCGGCCTCAGGCCGCTGCGGGTGCTGTGTGACCACGCACAGCAAGAAATTCAAAGGTCAAAGTCAACTGTAGGTCCAGGTACCTCGCCCAGGCCCTTGGTCACGTGCATTGACTTGTATGTGTGCAGGTGACTTGAGGACTGGGGTTCAGACCCCGCCGTCAACACTACATATTGAGCTGACTTCCTGGTTTTGACATCTGGACTCTCGTCTGGAGTCTATGCTGACCCGACGCTCTCGCGTCAACGCCGGCT